TCCCCAAACAACTACAATGGACAACTGATAATAATTTGCGGATGAATTTCTTTAAGAAGAGAAATAGTCACTGTAGAATTAAATGCATAATGTCATATAATCTTCCATTTTAAAACACATTTAGAAGAACATATTTAAGATTGTGAAATGGCAAGTCATTTAATTACTTCTGCTCCCAGACTGCTTTCTCCACTACTTCTTCTTTTACCTTTTCTTCCTTTCACCGTGGTTCACTTCAGGATGATATGCACGCTTTTGCATCTGTGCTCCACTTACGATTTACTTTTGCTTCTTTTTATTTAATTAGCAAACTCCCTATAGGCCCATTAGAGACTGACCATTTCACAGGTTTGGAAGACTCATTTCATTTACAGGTGGATAATATGTCTTGGGCTTCTACAAAATGATCCAAGATGACACACTACTAATTTTATCTTGCGTTGTTTCCTATTTAAATGAAGATACAATCATATCTGTAGATAAATATTAGGTAAGCTTAGGTGCAGATTAGCAACACATTCCCTGGCTCATAGCATGAGAGGGTATTTTTAAAAAATTATATATTTGAATGTTCAGAAAATATTTTTTAAAGAAGGAAGTGTTTTTGCAAATGCAATGAAAGAAAATGAATGTGATGTCCTCTAGTGGAACTTTGCAACATATTAAGTACTGAATTTAAATAATGTTAAGCAGTGGGTTTAAGTAATGTGTAGCCATCACCAAAGATTTGTGTTTCCCTACAAAAGCCTGGAGGCTACTCCTGACTGGGGACAAAGAAGGGCATAATCTGATGTTAATTGAATAGATGTTAGCTCAGTGGAGGAATTCAGGAGTCTTTTCAAAAGGGCTGTAACTCTTCCTTAGATGTAGTGTTTGGCAGTTTCACATCAGTCACGCAGATGCATTCTGCCACTGCAAATTCCTGACTGGAATCAGGATTGAATGGCAAAAAAAAAGTCAAGGGGAGAACACAGCTGCCTTCTTTGCACTAAAGTCTTATCTTTGGAGGAACTGGGGTGGGAAGAATACACTGGACTGTGGTGATGGCACACGGGTGAACTGGTGATGGGAGGCCCATGGGGATTGCAACTGAGATGGAAAAATGCACGAAATGAAGAATGATGTAAAAAAAATGTTTATGGTATAAAATACATAAAAATAAACAAATTTTTAAAAAAGAAAAAAATCTTATCTTTGGAGAAATAAAAATTGGCACATACATAATCCCAGGAAGACTCCAAAGTACCTAGAAGAATTCCGTAGAAGAGTTTTCCGTAACACATGTTCTTCAAGCAAGGGCCCAGAATACTTCAATTAAATGAGACTCCAAGAAAAATGTTCCTTTTTGTTGTTTCTCCCTTTCATTTTGTATGTAATGGTTTTAAGATCGTTAAGATATTTTTCTGCTTATAGTTTACAACTCTCCCCATGAAGAAATGATCCTAATCCTATGATTAAAGCAATCTATTAAAAAGCAGAAGGAAAGAGAGAAGCCTACTGAGAACCATTAAAAGATAAACATTAAGATCATCATTCCCCAGACTGACCCAAGGGGGGGGAGGGAAGAAAAAGGTGAGAACAGGTGTGGCTCTACCTGTTGGCCTCCCAACTTGAGGTTGGACTCAACTACATGACAAACATCAATAAGTGTCATTTATAATTAATTATGCAAATAGCTCCTACTGCTTGATGTTTATGATGAACTATTTTATTTTTGTGCTCTGATAGCTGTTCAAGCAAAATCACTAATGTGGGACTATTAGGGAAAGGATAATAATTCTAGCTTTAAAATAAGCTTTTTGCAAGTCAGATTCCTTATATTCTCGACAGATGGGATATATTTTCACCCAACTGGGAAATACTTCAAAGTGAATCAAGACAGAAAGTGAATCAAGACAGCATTGATTAGTTCTTGTATGCTTTTATATCATCCTTTATAGAACTCCAATGATGAGCCAGACTTTCAAGGATCTATTTCAATATCATGATTTTCTTAACCTGTAATCACTTTGATCACAAAAATGAATACCAATGATTCATATTTTAAAATGTTCTTTGGCAAGTGAACTAAATTCCTTCAGCCTTGTGTTTAAATAAAAACAGGCAGTAATGCTAGATCTTTACTCTGTGTGTAAGTAGAGTACATAACTTTCAGTGGTTGGTAAACTTGTACCAGAAGTCAATAAGAGAATTACTGACCTGGCAAGAATATGTTCTTTTATATTCAAAATCACACTGCTGCCCAACTTCAAAAAGACCCAGGATTTGATTATTTTTGCAGAGACAGACATAAATTTGTACGGATTTATCTATATTCCCTGACCTGTCCCCATTTGATCAATGTACAATAACAAGATGACAGGCTGGGTTAAGAATGATATTTGTGATCTCATCTGCCTCATATATAATCATGTTGTGCAGAGACCAACAAATTTATGTTCTTTCAATATAGTTTATTATCAAAGTATTATGGTGAATCACATGAATTTGATGTTTTCACAGGTCAAAATAAAGTCATTGAATGTCAATTTTTTCATGTGATTCAAACAAATGTCAAAAGAGCATCTTTAAGGATTATCTGCGAAGGTCTTATAGTATAGGCTCCCTAACATCAGCCAAAAATTATTTTTAACACTTTGTGTTGCTGTTTTTGTTTTTCTGCTGGCTATTTGTCTTTTCAACAGTACTTGTTGTGGAAATGGTTTTTATGCTTTTTCCCTTTGTTTCTTAATTCCTTTGCATAATTCAGCAAGTGCAACTAAATTCTCTTTCACACCAACAACACATCAAACATAACACAATTTCTAAGTTTATATCTTTCTTAAATAAATTTTTAAGGGAAGAAATGTGATACCGTTGAGCTGAGTAACCTCATGACAGCAAGCAAATTGTGTCAGCAGATGACTGCTGGCATTTTGCTGAATAGTTTACACCATCTATGAAATAGAAACACCATGCTCCCTGCAGTCAGCACCCTCAGTGGATGCATTTACAGTAAGTCATAAATCTTCCACCCCTCACATACATCTTCATGCAAGGAATTTCTTAGGAACTTCCAGGAAATTACAAAACTATGAATTAATTTCAAAATGTTAAGCTAAGAAAATACTCAGTTCTGGGTTGTCCCTGGTAGAAAACATCAGTATTCAAAGGGGTGGGGGAAAACTGTACCTTATTCCAAAAATAAATCAAGAAATACCATGTGCTTTTGACAAGGAAATGTTTAGAATAACTCTGTAAGACTTCACATTTTCACAAGGTAAAATCTCATTCTATAACACATATTTAATGGTTTAGGTTGAACTTAAACACAAAAAAATTATTCTAGTAGATAAAAAGGTGCCTGACCTTATATTTGCTATAGACGTTCTTAAACTACAAAATTTACTTAGCCTCTAATGTTAAATTCTCCAATCTATGCATTAGTTACATAGGTTATTAGTGAGACAGACCATTGCAAAAAGCTCATGTTGCTTGTTTTACTGATTATAGGTCTTTCCAAGTCCTGCTATACTTAATTACCTATCTTTATTATTTCATTTGAAAGGATCACTTTTATTGTGACCCTTTAAGAAAGCTTTTCCTCTGGCTTTCCCTTTCCCTTAGATGTGGAGTGGGAGAAGGAATGGGAAGGAGTTTGCAGGGCACTCCTGAAATCTAGGACTTGAGGGGGTGATAGCAAGTGGGTAGCCATGAATTAGATTCACCACCCCTCAACTGCATTTCTTTTTGGAAAATGGGTTTTTCTACAGGGCTGTAGCTGGTGAAAATGTGACTTGGCCAACAAGAGGAGAGGGCTCAGACCATCACTTAAATCTCAAGAGAAGATGAAACTGCTGACCAAAAGCTATAATTAGCCAGGCAATGCCTTTGAGGCTCCACACCTGCTCCCCCCACTTCCAGATGGGGAGCCTACCCTGGCACTCACCATTTGGTATCTCTTTTAAACCCATCATCCTTCCCAGGACCAGGCCTAGGGCACTACTACCAGAAAATGTAGCAGTTAAGAAAAATAATATTTAAATAATCCAAATTATACAAAAAATCCACAATAAAATATCAGAATTTCAAATAAAGATGTTATCATTGTCACTCCTTACCCTTTAGCCAAGGTTACTGCCACTCATCTGTCATTACTTAGCATCTTGTGGAAATTTGGGGGCAGCTCCCTGAACTGTGCATCTGAGAGGAGGAAAGTTCTAACACTGACCCACCCTCCCTTCTTCCCTCCCTTCCCCACTCCTTCCATCCCTCTTTCCCTCCCTCCCCCTCACTTCTCCTTTTTTACACCCTTCCACAACCTTTATTTTAGTAACGATTTTTTTCCCACTAGCATACCCTGTTTCCTCCTTCTCCCTGCTCTGTCTTCACATCAGAGTCCTAGGGACATTTCTTATGCACATAAGTTTTTGAAAGTGTTTTGCATTATCAAATTGGCACACTTTTCTTTCTTTGTCTTCTGCTTAAATTCTCACTTCATTTCCTGAAGATGGTTTTGCTCTTTCAGTCTATATTCCAAACTCCAAGAGGGTAGGGACTATCTCTGGACCATAGCTGCATTTCACATCAAGTTGAGCCTTAAGCATGGTGTGTGACACTCGTAGCTGCTTTACAAGAGTTTGTTCACTGAGTGGAAGAAAAATCTCTTGTAGCCTCTGGTCTATAAGGTTTCTTTGCACAATCATGTGGTTGAAAAATGCCTCTGGCTGGACTCCTACCACAGAGCATTGCTGGGGGGCCCCCAAAATCCCATTCCAGGGTTTTCTGAACATGAGGGAGAGTGAACATACGTGTGCCTAAGTAGATCACAGGTGAATCAAAATGATGATTCCTGTGTTGTTTTTTTTTTAAAAGAACGTAAAATAATGTTAGAGTGTTTACATATTTTCAACACTATCTCTTTTGCATAAGACTCAGAAAAGAATATGGCAATTTATTTTATTGGAAATTTTTCCCCAGCAATTTCAAAATTTCTCATTTGGGGAGTTCAGAGCACTTACCTTCAATGGTACACTGATCAGGGACTGGGATCTTCTTCCCAATTTCCACAGCATATGCTTTCACTTTGCCAAGATTTTCCTTTAAGTGCAGGTAAAGCTGATCTTGGTATTCCACAGGGCTTGCAACTGCCTCTGCAGTTTCCTTTTCAGGGTTTTCTGTAACCATTTCTGGCAAATTATCTGATTCTATACATATAATACTTGGGTGTGAAACTGAAGTATTTCCCAGCTGGGATGCATCAGTATCTGATTTCAAGGTAGAATTGTCATTTCGTCGGCTTAGTGGGCATATTTCAAAGAGAGAGACGCTGACAGGAATATCTTCACTCTCTATGGCTTCCCCATCATCTGAACTTGCACCCTTGGGCAGCAAAGTGTGGAAAGCCAAGCTCTTTGACCTATGAGACCAACAAGGGGAAACTAAGGCAGGTAATGAAGGTGAGTTACCACTCACCAATGAAGCAAAGAAAGAATAACACTGGCACCAACAGTTGCTTCCTCTAGGACATGAAACTGAACATTGGTGCTCTTCACAGATTAGATAAAAAAAATACAAGTTATATAACAAAAAAGACCAAGTTGTATAACAAGTGTGTGTGACAAGATCTAGGTCACCTTCAAAGACAAGATTTAAAAATCAATTTCAAGGCAAAACTGACTGGGAAATGGAAAACTTGACATATGTGTTGTTCTTTTTCTACTTTTGCTTCTGTATTTTTATCAGAAATCAAAAGAAGCTTTTGACAGTCTTCTCAATATTAGCGTATCTGTACTTGAAAGGTGTTTTTAAAAACATAAGCCATATTGTTTTACATTTGTATTCTCCCCTTACAATAGCAACTTTTTTGGCTAATGAAAGCACTGTGGGTGAATTTTGTTCGTGGAAGAGGGGGATTGTGGAGGCTATGATAAAAAGTACTTAAATACCATCCTATAGCTTAGAAACAAAACTAATAGCAAACATGAATTACATACTTTTAAAAACCAGCCAAACAAAATTTATACCTGTTAAATCTAATGTCTTTTCTTACTTCCTTAGAAACTTGGCCCAAACTGTATCTTCTGATAGAGCCAGGAGTATTGTTCCCAGCATTGATTTTGTCTTCAAAAGCTTGGATTTTAACTTGGAGCTTTTCATGGACATCATTGACTGCTGCAGTGAATTTGTTTTCTTCCATCTTCTCAGGTAATTCCATTTCAGTGCTGGTTTTTCTCCTAAAGGGATAATAACAGTCCTTGAATTGGATGGTGATCACATATACCCTTCTTGAGAATTTTAATTTCTATTAACTTCCTCCTATTCAAAACTGAAAACTCTGCCTGATAAATTTTTGATCAGTCACTGAACAATTATGTATTGAGTAACTACTCTGGACATAAGTCTCTAAAGTTGCTTCAATAGCTTATTTGCCAGAAGTTTAGAAACACTTGTTTTTATGTCAGTTTTGTATTGAAAATACTTTTTTGAAAGAATCCTTTAGAGGCCCTCCCTTGTGGTGCAGCAGGTTAAAGCACAGCACTGAGAATCTAAAGCTGCTTCCGCATGAGTTTGATTCCACTTGCCCCGGAGGTGACCACATGGCGCGGCAGACCTCTCCTGACCCGTCCCTGCAGTTTCCTTTTCAGGGTTTTCTGAAACCCTCAGCAGTGTACTTCGTCGATCTGCCTGATCTGTTCCCCACTCTGTCTCTGGTGAAGCCTCTCACTGCCCCTGAGCCTCTGGCCTGTACCCCAGTTCTGTATGCACAAATAAATAAAAATAAATCTTAAGAAAAAAAAAAGAATCCTTTAGAAAGAATAAACATTTTAATAGTCAGTCACTATACTACTAGTTCTCCAAAAGCATGGATTTCATATAATGTTCATGCCAGGCATTTCTTCAAAAATGAACATGTACTAATCTGTTTGTACTGATACTATAAGTATCAGTAAGATATTTATTGTTTTGTTAATTTCAAGAAAATCATTGTTAAATTCAAGGAAATCTTTCAATGTTATGAAGGAAGAAAAATCTTTCTAAATCTTAATATGTTGGAAGAAAGCAGTTCTCCATAAAAGATAGAGTTCCAAATATCTTTTATAGCAAAGTTTATGAAACATTCTCTGGGTCAATGAGATGATATCTTTAAGACAGAGGCTTTGTGATATGACTTTGGAACCTCTCTGAGGCTAACATAGTATTTTATGTGGAGCAAAAGCTTACAGATAAGCTGCAGAAATAGCTCATGGCTACTCACTCAGGTGCTGAACAATTGCAAGAAAACATTAAGCATCTACAGTCCCTAATCTGCCTTTTAATAACAAACCAATAGAGCTGTCTTAATTTTTAACAATTACTCTCAATTACATAATATGGAGGTGGTATTAATTTTTTCCCTTATAATCACAAGGGTCAATAGTCCACAGAAATCCATTCACCAACATGACTGAATGGAATGACACTTTGTTGGACACAGCAGAGGTTCCAGGGCAGGGTTGGATATCACAACTTTTCTGACTGGCCAGAGAGGCATCCGGCCTTGAGGAAGGGTTCAGTTGTGGGATCTCAGTAGCATCTCTACTAGTCCTCCCCAGAAACAGTTGTGGATATACACGTTGGGGAGGAGAGCAGATCATTTGTTAGCTAACCAAGACATTGTTTATGGCCAAATAAGCTAATGCCAATCAAATTTAAAAGCATTTTAATAAAATTTTTATGTGTCCATGCTTTTGACATACTGTTCACTTGTTTTCCATACCCTGCTTGACTAAACTACACACAAGTAGATTTCAAGGGTCGGTACATGGGAATGACAGTTAATCGTGAACATACTGCTCATTCAGACATATACACGATACTGCTGCCCACAGGGGTGAGGTCGACATCTTCTAGCCAGAATGTTCTAAATTTGAACTTTTACTCATACTGTAAATGAAACCAAGATGGTGCTATCACTAGAGGATATTATACAAACCAAGATGATTATCTAGGTAATTTTAAAATAGCCAGTGAAACCTTCAATATGAAAACTTTAGGGAAGCAATATTCATTTTTCAGCCCATCCCATGTTAATCTACATGGAATCTAATCAGATTTCGAAACTGAAAGATTAACTTTTTAGCTCTATTTCAGAAGTTTCTGTACTTGGTATTATGAAAGCTTTAAAATTTGTTCAACACACAGTATATTTAAATATACATATTAGATATTGAAAATTACACAAATTTTAAAATCTCAAAACTTATGAATTTTTAGAATAATTTCTTGGTTTAATTTGCTTTTTTTTAAAAAAAGTAAAGTCTGGGATAACACAGCAGCTAAAATAATAGCATTTTCAGATGGAAAAGTGAACAAAATGAAGAATGATGTAAAAATAAATAAATAAATAGCATTTTCTTCCAAAAAACTTCACATTTTATATGATTATAGTAAATCTTAGTAGAGAACTTTATTAGATCAGCTTCTGACACTTTTAAAATAAAATTTTCTCACTTTTGGAGATTGCTCTTTTATTTATTAAACTCTTTATGCCAATTTTCCTCTCTGTGAAAAGGGAACAATAACTCTACTGGCTCATCAAGTTGTTGGAAAGATGAAATGACAGAATTATTGTTAAACACTGCTCCTAGAGCATAACGGACAGTTACAGATGTTAGATGTTAATATGAATTGCCATCACTATTACTTTTTCCTCTGAGAACTTTATTTGGTCTACCTAGAGCTTGTGTTGATACATACAGCAAATACCTGTGACCTAGACACAAACAGACCAATATTCCATATGCCAGGGGGATCGGACCCCAGTGGTGTCAGAAAAGGTCACTTAGCTCCTTCTCTGCTCCCATCTCCAGTTACCACTGTTGGTCACTAGGCACCATGGCCGAGTGAGTGGGAGCCTGTGCTGCTGAGAGCGCTCTTCCTTCCTTGGGGTGCCTTATGGCACCCTGAGGTATTTCTGGACATCCACTGACCCCCAGAGAAGCAGATGAGATGCCTCTGAGTTAGGGTTGTCAGGCAAACTATAGGATACTCAAAAGAATTTGAATTTTAGATCAGTGACAAATACAATTTTTAGTGTAGGTATGTCGTTAGTAGAACATACTAAAAATTATTACACTACACTACACTAAAAAAAAAATTGTTCTTCTGAAATTTAACTGACAGTCCTGTACTTCTACTTGCTAAGTCTGGTAGCCCTCCCTCAGGGTGGCATGGGGGCACTCCTATGCCTCCGTGTTCTCCCATGGCTGGCACAGGGTTTTGTACAAGGACCCAAAGTATCTGTGGAATAAATGAACTAAGACCACACTGGTGTCTCAAGCCAGTCTACTCCTGCCCTTAAGTCTCTTGTGGCTTACCACAAGCCTGTGAGGCATCTCCTCATTCATAATGGGGAGGGGCTGGGCAGTGTCATTTGGGAAATATTAAATATTGAGAGAAGTGATCAGCAAGAGTGGGAATAAAAGAGAGATTTTCAAAGGGCCAAATAAGAAGATTGAAGAAGTAAAAATGAAAAATTTCTTTTTTGAGCCAGCAAAGTGATGTCTGCAAGGCTGGTGTGTGTTGCCAATAAAAAGCACAATTCTCACACAAAAACTTTCTCTACAATGCTCCTTTATGATCTGGAGATTTCCATAACATAGGAGTCAGGGAACAGGCAATGAAGACTCCTGAGGCTGTCCAAGCTGCAGCATGGACCAGAAAGAAGAGTCTGTCACTGGCCATCAATCTGGGGTCCTCAGCTTTGTTGCCAGGGGGTTAGGATAAGTTTTGTTTCTCACAGGCTTGAAGGTCAGGAAATGGTAGTCAGAAATTTGGCTTTATAATAAACATCCTCCACTCAATTGTTTTTCCTCTTGGTTTTAACACTGAGTATAAAAAGACAGGACAAAATTTGCTCAGAAACAAAGCCCTTTCCTAGAGCTAAATTCTGCTTTCCTTTTAGACAAGGACCTCCATCAGCAAAGTGAAAGTTGGGGAGGACCCATGGTCCCCTGTGCCTTTACAGGGGGGCTTGGGGGAGGGGCCATTGGGTGGGGCTCATGCAGGGGTTGTTATTTCTTTTCCATTTGTCACTTTTAACTCCAGAGGTTATTTTACAAAAATCTTTGTCAGAGTTCTGTAATCCCCTAAATATTAACTTGGCTTTAACTCAACATGCCACATTACAAGAGGCTCAGATGAATTTCCAGTCTGAACAGTTCCTGGTCTCTGTTGCCAAAGTAAAGTTTTTAAAAATACCTCCTGGGAAGCTGGGGGAGGCCTAATTACCTCCCTCCACGTGAGCTGGGACTCCCCTTAGACATGACTGGCCCTCAGGCAGCTCACTGCTCTCACTGAGCCCAGAGATGAGACCAGAGCTGGTAGTGTGGAGACAGGCAGCCCATATTCCTGGTTTTGTAAATTAAAAAATAAAGAGTAATATCAGTAAATGTCTGATGAACTTGATGTTGGCTCCCACACCTAGGACATGCAGAATTAGGCTAATTCGAAGGGAAGTGGGGGAGACGTGAAGGGTCTAATCTACACTGAAGTCCATAGTTCTTTGGATATTATGCTCCTTTCTCTTCTGCAACGTGTGGGGTCATCAGTCATACAAGAATGCCAGGTGGTCTCCCAGCCCACAGCCCTACCATCTGTTTTGGACGGCAATGAGCGAAGCTGTGGGAATGACTACACCCATAAGGTTCTGGATGCTCAGTTCTGCCTCTGACTGCTCAGGGCACAAGAACAGAGATCACGTGCAGTGATAAGGGGACAGAATGTGGTAATGCCTCTGCTAGAACATTGCTGGGATGAAATGACTTCATGATTAATCTCATTCACATAAGGGCTTCAGAGGATATGGTGTGTGGAAAGGGACTGAGTGTGGACTTGCAGGGAGAGACCTGGTTTCATGACTCCAATGTCCTGTCCGTCAGTGATGTGGCAAATCTCTGTGTGACTCTTAAGTCTCAATTTTGTCACAAACAGGATAAATGACAGCATATCACCAGCTTGCTGAAATGATGATGTAATGTAATGCCTTTTCCAATGGAGCCCAAATAGAGTATGAAAAAGCCCAGTGACAAAATGCTGGGTGGTTGTAATGCAGAGTGGACATTTGATACAGAAGAAGGTGCATCCTGCAGGTGATATCACACCTGTAAGATAGGCTTCTCCTGCCCAAAGCCACGGAAGGCCACATGATCTCTCACAGGCAGGACCATACAACCCTTCTTAGCCTGAAGTCTCC